CGAGCGGCGCGCGGGCGGCGCGGCCGAAGTTTCTCCGCCTGCCTCGTCCCGCGAGCCAGAGCCACCCCGCAGCTCTGGGAAAAGACAGACGGGAACAAACTGCAGAACACACTGAAAAATAATTCTCAAGCCAGCCCGAGGCACAGGGCGCAGGTAAGGCGCGGGGAACGAGGGGTCTCCTCCCTTCCTTAAGGGTCGGCTGCCGCGGAGGGCGCCTGGGCTCCGGGGACACCGCGCTCCCCGCGGCGTGCGGTGCGTCCGCGCGTCCGTCAGGCTTTGTCTGTCTGTGCCAGGTCCGTCTAGGTGTCTTTGTCTCTGCACGTAACTGTCAGGGTCTCCCCTCCACCAGAGAGGGTGCTGCTGGCTGGTCCCAGCCCAGGAGAAAGAATGGTACTTCCGTCCTTCTGTCTTCGTCTCTGTCTCCTGCAGGCAGGGTTTATCTCCGCCCCGGCCCCAAACCTGATCTTAATAGACACGAGTGTTGGGTGACACTGGTGTCCGAGGCCAGAGGTGATCGTGAGACTGGAGGGGCCCTGGCCCCAGACGGAGGGTCTGACAGCTGAAGCCTGGCCACTGAACTTGGCCTGGAACTTGGGCGATGGGCTGTGTCCGCACTGGTGGCAGGGACACTGATGCAGTCAGAGGTTTGAAATATTTCACTGAAGGAGTATGTCACACGGGATAAGGTAGATAGAGAGGGGATGATGAACCCCAGGATTTAAGTGGGGGGTGATGAACCCCAGAATGTAAGTGGGCCCCTGGTACTGCAAGTCACCAGGATCAGTCCTGAACATGCACGCACACACCGCATGCACTTATTTCTCTCACCCACCACAGGCAGCCAGCCCCCCACTCTCCCCACGCCCACACACACACACACACACACACACACACACACACACACANCGCACACACCGCATGCACTTATTTCTCTCACCCACCACGGGCAGCCAGCCCCCCACTCTCCCCACGCACACACACACACACACACACACACACACACACACACACACCCTTCCACATGTTTAAGGCACCAAAACAAGAGCCAGGTGATCTTTCTCTTTCCTGCTCCAAGTGGAAAGGATTGAACTGTGGAGCAAATGAGTGTTCTTCTCGCCCACGAGTGTGGCAGCCCTAGGAAAGTATCCCAGACTTGTTAGCTTCAGAGCCTTCAATTTCTTAGGAACAAGGAGTGCTTGGGGATCTGAGCATCTGAAGTTCCCAGATCCTTCCTCTTCCATTCCATCCACACTCTCCTCGGCTCTGGTCTTGGGTGCTGGCAAATGAGTGAGGAGGCACTGAATTCCGGAGAGCTCTTGGCAGGAGCTGTGCCAGATAAGGGGCTCCTGCTCTGCTGGAAGTGCAGCCTAATTATAATTGTGGGAGCAGAGGAGCCCAGCCACAGAGGGATGAGCTTTCTGCTTGGCAATTCTTGAGAGACCCTTGAGAACAGTCTGTGGGTGGGAGCAAGAGAATGTTTGTAACCTGAGCTTCCTGTAAGTTCAAAAACTATTTTCTGTGTGCTTGCTGGGGAAAATACAGGTGCTGGAAGAATGTATGTATATGTATGCATGTGAAAATGGGGATTAGAGACAGAGTTCGCAGGGGGAAGGGTGTCTGTGCTCCAGGGTGGAAAAGATCCAAGTCCGTGGGTGGAAGTCTGTGGGCAGAGGCATACACGCTAATCAGGCGTGGTGTCTGCACCTTGTATTTATCCAGCGCCTTTCTTCTGAGGCACTTTCTGCACATCACAGACGTTATCTCCTTTGTTATCTCCATTATCCTCACAACATAACTACCAGGTTGGCATGAAGCACGGCTCACTCTCTGTGTTTACCAGTGAAGAAACTGAGGCATGGGAGGGGCAGGGCCTTCCAGGAGGTCCACAGCTAGTGGGAGCAAAGTTAGACTTAGCAACTGGGAGTTCAAGTACAAGGCCTCAGCTGGATAGAGGAGAGTGGGGGACACTCACTCGGCTTGAGGTGAGAAGAAACTCAGGTGGAGAAAGAAGGGTGTCTCTCGAAGGTGTCTGTAGGAGAGCAAGAGGGAGGACGGGACGTTTGTTATTTAAATGGCAGCCTCTGCGTGCTTCACGAGGTAAAACCTGTTTCCATCATGCAGCTTGTGCTTGTGTGTGTGTCTGTGTGCCTCAGTAGACGTGTGGCAGGTGGCTGCCATCAAAGGTGCGCTGCTGTGCAGTGTGTGTGTAGGGCATGTGTCAGGGGAAGATTCGCCAGGCAGTTTTGAGAGGCCGTGTGTCTGCCTGTATGGGCCAAGAGGTGTATGGGCTTCGGCCATAAGAAAATGGCTTTCCAATTCCCCAAATTTATTTGTATGCCTTTCCACTTATTCAGTATTCATTTAATAAATATTCATTGGGTGCCAATGAAATGCAAGGCTCTGGGCCAGGCAGTGAGGCTTCAAAGAGGAGTAAAGTAATGATGGCAAACCTGTCATTAAGCAGCTTAGAGACAAGCGTAATGGGTAATAGTTCACAACATCTAATAACATCCACTACGTGCACTGTGTGCCCAGTATTTTTTATTCATTATCTCATTTAATTCTCAGTGCAGCCCTGCAGGGTATGTATGATGATCGGAGGAGGAGACCTACAGAACGCATCTGGGATGGCAAATGGAGGAGGGAGTGAGGATTTGAACTCCGCTCAGCCCCTGGCTCCTGCTTCCTTTGAACATAGAAATACGTGTTTCTTCCCTGTAAAACGTTCTTGCCCGGTCCTTCCACCTAGCTAGCTCCTGCTTGCACTTCTGGTTTTAACCATGAGGATCACCTCCTCCAAGAAACTGTCCCCTCTCCTTTCGTTAAGCCTAGGTCACGGGCCTTCCTCGGTTCCTGCCATCATTCCATGCTCTCCCTTTACTCACTGGCTCCTGAAGAGCCAGCAACATTCTTAGAGGCAGAGATTGTGTCATGAATTCCCAGAGGAAAGTACAGTGTCTGGCTACTCTGTGTAGGCCCTTAGTAAATGCTTGTTTAATAAAGTGATGGGAAAGAAAAGAGCTGTCAGAGACCCTTGGCAGGGAGCATTTTTCCCAGCAGCAGATTTGTGCAGGGGGCACACTTTGCTGGCGTGGCCTCTGGTATTCATGCCTCTGCTTTGGGCCAGTTCCTTCAGAGGCTCTGCCTAGACAGGGCTTCTCCATCCCAGGTCCTGCCTCCAACAGTTCGGGAGCCTTAAGGAAAACCTAGCCCCCCCTACACACATACCTTCTCTATCTGCCAACCCACTCAATCTCCAGCTCAGTCAGCGGACAAGTACAATTATAAAATGGGAGATGCTAGGTGTGATCTAGACTTGGAACCCCAGGGGCAGTGGCTCCAGGGCAATGATGAGGTGTTGCTGGGACTTTACCAACAAAGAAGTGTCCAACGGCCTGGGGAATCTTTAGGAGCTTTATGTGGTTGGTCTTTGAGTTTGATTTTGAATGGATCTTTGTGTTGCTGCAGTTGGAAAGCCACTGATCTAAATTGGATACTCTTACTCTGCTACTGGGAGTGTGAATTGCTACCATGTTTGGGGAGGTAATCTGGCCATGATTTGCCCAAGGTCACATGGTCACAGTCTGGTGACTCCCTTCCGGTGCTCTTTGGATCACCCCCTTATTTCTCATATCAGGGTTGCCGCATGCCTTCTTAGGGACTGTGATGATTTTAGTTTTTCTTTCAAAGATCATCACTCAAGTTTGAAAAACTCTGCATTTCACTGTTTGTTAAAGGTCTTATCTATGCAAAGTGCCAGGCTGATGGGAGATTTTTTAAAATGGCTAAATAATGGTTTAAGATGACATTTTGTGACGAGAATTGGGAAGGGGAAGCAGCACACATGAATCAATGACAAGGACATTGACACTTGGACTGTGCTAACTTTGAACACAGCAGCTGCTCAGCATGAGGAAGGTGAAGATGTCAGGAAGAAGGTGGTCAAGGACTCAACCTCAAGAAGGTATAAGAGCGTAGACATAACTGCAGCCAGGTCACAGCTCCAGGATGCAAGCTGAGAGCTGAGGGGACAGGGCTTTGCCTTCTAGAGGGGAACCCCGGGGGTAACCTGTTACCTCCTCCCCTCCCCCCCAACCAGTCACCCTGCCCAGAAGAGCTGGGAATGATGGGCGGGAGGGCTCACCTCTTACAACTGCCTCCAGCCAACGAGTGTGCAGACTGGCCTTGGACCCCCTCCTCCAAGGACCGAGAGCAGTGCGTGGGGACGTGTCACGCCGAGCATGGCTGAGTCGGGCTTCGGGCGAGCTGCCGTTTGGCACAGCTGCCTCTCTATCTGTGATCTCCATCCTGCTTCTCTCACTCTCTTGCTTCCTGCCAGACATCGACTTCCACCAGACGGCGACCACCATTCCTAGGCTTCCTGTAATAATGATTTTAATAGCCCTTTTTATCTGTCCAGGACTTTACACCTTAAAAGGGACATTATTATTACCAACTCTGTGGGAAGATTTCTTCTACAATTTGACAGATGAGAAAACTGAGGGAGCCCGTTAGAGGTCAAAGAGTTTACCCAAGGTTTTTAGTGGAACGCTGGGGTTTGAACCCAGCCATCCTGGTCCCCAGTCCTGGGCGATAGCCACCCACCATCAGGCCTCACTAATTGAACAGATTTAGGGTCACGGCATTGTTGACAAGTGTTTAATGTCTAGGAAAAGGAAGATATTTTTAAAATCATAAGAACTCAGTTACTTTCGTAATTATTGTAATCCAAGTGTGATGAGAGTCAGAGTTTTCCTCACTTTTTCTCTGCCCACCCTCTCCCTAAGTACTTGTTATGCACTTATGTTAAGTCAATAAACAATAAACTAGGGAGTATTGAGCATAAAGGAATGTCTACTTGAGACTTACTTTAAGAAATGAACTTTACCTGTATCGGTTCTTTCTTTATAGCTAGTAAATTCATAAGGTTTGGTTCCCTCCACGTTGAAATTATAGCAAATTTTGCCTTTATAGAATCTGAATTAATGGCATTCCATTGGAATACCAGACTTGATTCCATTATCTGTTTCAGTGTTTCCACTTTGTCCATGGGCATTAAATAAATTCAAAACTAAAATGGGCCAGCAGCCTCTGCCCTGGCAATGTGAGCAGCGTGTGGAAACCAGGCTCAGGGGGTGATCACACATGGAGGC